ATAGTCCGAGTTATAACATGTTTTTACGCCGGTGAACAAAAAAACAAGACCCCTTTTCTTTTCTTTTCTTTCCAAGACTATCGAGGGGTTTTTTCTTTCTTCTTCTTCTTCTTCTTTTGGTGTAGGAAAAGGAAAGATGGGATAGTAGGATTATGATGAGGAATGAAATATTAGATACCCCCCCCTTTGTTCTCTCTCTCTCTCTCTCTCTCTCTCTCTGTGTGTGTGTGTGTGTGTGTGTGTGTGTGTCTCTCGCTTTTGAAGCTCCAAACCCAAGACAAAAAAACACAAGGCAAAGAATTACACTTTTTTCTTTCTCTCTTTCTCTTTAGCACAATCGACATCGTTGAAAAAAAGCGGTGTTGAATTGGTCTTTCGCGGTCATCTATCTGCACGTATATAACATTTTTTTTGCAAATATGCAAAAAAAAAAGCTATCTTGGCTGGCTATATGGTATCCTGATATAAAGCAAAAAGATTCTAGATTAAAAGGCTTCGGAGGAAGAAGGATGAGAGAGAGAGAGAGGGAGGGAATGCAGGGGAAATAAAACTAGTTTAAAAAAACAAGATCAAGGGTGTAACTACTAAGAACACAACAACAACAGCAAGCCGTTAGCGCCTGTTCCAAGCGTACGCCCTTTGCCCCAAAAGCGCAATATCTCCCCAACATGGTAGCGACTGTTAAAAGCGGCTGATCCAGGCATTATGTGGGTTTTCTGTTTCTTTTTCCTTTATCAATCACACCCTATCCTCTGCAAAATCAAGAACCTCGCAGTCATCTTCGAAGAAACCTTCTTCACCGCCATTGATACCATCCTTCTTAACTCGTCGTCGTCTGGTGGTCACGACAACTTGTTCTACCTCTTCTTCGCCATCTCGCAGCACGAGTTTATTCTCGATCCTGGCAGCAACTCCAGTGATATCGTCCTCGCCAGAGTCGTAAGCTGGCGCCACAGGTGAAGAGAGTCGTGTCGCCTCTACGCTTTCACCAAACAGCCAGGGGGATGGGTCATCGTAATGGAGGTCTGAGACTAGTTCGGGAAGTGTTGGCTGGTACTCACTGGCGCTGCCATGAGCCTCTGACGCTTGCCTTGCGTAAACAAATCTCGTCACGCGCTTGTCCGTGTAAAAAGGCTGGTAAGGCGGATTGGTCTCGATCTCGGAGAAACTGAGTGGTGCAAGAGTCGGCCCCGCGGGTTTGCGACATGGCAAGCTTCGTGGCAACCAGTCTCCATAGCACTCCTGGCTTGGCTCTGGGTCTCCAGGTTGCGGCATAATCTGCTCTGTGACCGCTGGTGGGAGTGATATGTCTGGAATGGGAGCTAGCCCAAACTCTACGGCTTTCTTCTTGGTGATTGTGGCCGTGTTGCCCGATTTTCCTTTGCCGGCAGCAGGTCGCATCTGGACCCGCCAGATCTGAAGTACACCGCCAGAGACTAATGCGACTGAGCCACGTCCCCTTCCAGACAGCCAACGAACACTGTAAGGCTTGATACCGCTGGAAGAGGATGGGAGCGTCAATTTATTGTCACCCGCATGCCGAATGTTGCTAATCGACTTGCCCACCCCAGCTGCTACAGCTTTGCCAGATTTGGCGCTCACAACAGGCGTTACAGCAAGACCACTGAGACTGAAGCGAGAACCACTGTTGGTTCTTGTCCGAACAGCATCAAACCAGGGCTTGGCGCTATTGATGGCTTGCATTGCTGAGTTGACTGCGCCTGTAGATCCGTTGGCAGGAGTAGATTCCTTGGCTTGGGCTGGCTGGGCCACCGGTCGAGTCCGCCTAGCAGGTGGCCATTGAAATGCGGATGCCGGCATGGGAAACATGTGCACCGTTCCTTTGTCGGTAATCACGGCGAGCCTGTCGGCTCTGGGAGCAGACCATACCACATCAATGACATTCGCGACTGTCATGCGGGTAAATCGAGCCACCTGGCGAACATGCGGTCCTATAGGCTGCTCCCTTGCTGTCTTGCGCGCTCGTCGGAAATGCATGCGCTTCAAATCCCAAACGTCTTGATAGTCACCCTTCTTGCTCACCGACATGAGCATCAGGCCGCTAGGAGAAAAGGAAAGAAAACTGCATCCCAAGGCGGCTGGGACAGTTGCAACAGGCTGGAGAGCACTCTTGCTTCTGGTCTCTTCTGCATCTAGCAGCTTTTGTAGATCAAAGACTGAGATGACAGCGGCTTCTTGCCTGGGTTGAGCCTGGCTGTAGCCATGTGTAGGTGGAAAGCAGTGTTGCATTGGATCCTGGTTGTGCGATACACCATTGCCTTGCTGACCCTTGTTCATGTAGCTTTTGATCGCTTGCATTCCCTTTTCAGTGGCCCAGCGTGCACCTTTGATAGCAACTTGGGTTCCTTCACGGGTAAGTCTGTCGATCAAGCCTGCCTCATTAGGTGCATCGACAGCACAGTTGGGCAATGGTTGAGGTGGCACACTGTGATGTGCGAGGCCCGGAGCACGCTCGTAGTAGGGCGATGTCAGTGCTACCCCGTTGACAGGATAGAGCGAGCTTGATGCTGGTGGAGAGAGGGCAAGCCAACGATCGGAAAGCGAGAAGACGGGTAAGCCATACTTGTCCGGTGGTATTTCGTCGTGGCTTCCATCGGCGGCACTGGAACCATTTGAATGCACAGCTCGTTCCCGATTCTGGACAGTGGTCCACAGCTTGCCAATGCAGCGGAAACACTCGGCATATTCCAAGTGACCTTGTGTGTAGGGTGCGAAGATGAACACCTCGCCACTTGCGCCAGAAGCAACCACGACAAACTTTCCCTTTGCGTCTACGACCAAGTCGCCTACAGGCGGTGGTGGCTGGAACATAGGGCTGTCGATTGGGCTGGTGAGGGGGGTCATTGGCGTTCTGTATAGGACAGCCAACCTCCGTCTCTCCTTGAGGGAATAAACCTCGACGGTAGTCTGATAACCGCTGATTTGTCCATTTTCATGGTTCCCATGTCGTGAAGATGGCCTGCTAGGCGAATCGGAAGCCGAGTCATCTGCGACTGAAGAGGAGCCACTTGCACTGCTATTCTGGCTGTCCTTGATGACTGGGCCATGCAGAATCAGTGCAACAAGTGGGCGGGAGGCAGCCAGCGGATCTCTCCGTGATGACCATGGCAGGATCTTTGCGCCTATTACGGCGCCCCGCAGGCCTTCGAGGCGACCTACAATGTCCATCTTGCTCCTTTCGACGCGAAAGACATCGAGGCCGCCCTGACACCCGACGAGCAGGACATTCTCAGCAGAGCGAGCTGCTTCGTCTCCAGCCATGGACAGTGTGTCGAAGCCACAGAAGCAGCCGCCTTGGCCAGGTTGGAGGCCGCTACTCGGGGCGCTTAGGAAGTCAAGGTTGGGCAAGCCGTAGTAATGGGCTTGTGGCTGGTGAGGCAGCGGGGGGTTGGGGACAAACTGGTGCGAAGGGGTGCGGCCACTTTGCGAGTAGATGGAAGCCCTACGGTCGCTGCCCGGCGAGTGTTGCATCCTCCCACCAAAGGTTGTGTACTGGTTAGGATGGCTCAGGGGCCGTGGTCCAGGGGGTGAGTTGGACATGGCTTGGTGTTGGTATAGGCCTTCTCGACCACTGGGCGAGTTGTGGAAGGTGGGCGGAGAGCCTGCGATAGCTATGGCGCCATTACCTGGGGAGCCTTGGTGTGGGAAGAAGGGTACCGACTTGGCCCACTCGGTGGTGTACTGGGCGGCAGTATTTCGCGTGGCACCGATGGCCGACAGTAAGGGGGAAGCAGTGGCATTGTAGTTTGTTGGTGGAGAGGTGGACGACAGGCGCTTTGCAGACGAGGGAGAGGTTGTTCTGGAGAGGTGGTGAGTCACTGACACAACACAGGGGGGGGGAGGATCAACAAGGGAAGTCACGTACACTTGTCTGGGATAGATGCGCGTAACCCGTTCACCCTGCCTATTTCTTCTTCCCAGCTCATGTCTCGACGTGTTGCGACCACGCGCGTGAGGGCTGTCGTGCTGCTTGCTGGGCTTGGGCTGGTGCTTGTGCAGGTAGGTGAGGTTTGAAACAGGCTTCGTATGCGTCTGGTCGGCAACGGCGTCGGGCGATGAGCTCATTCAACCTGCTAGAGAGGCGTGTGGAAGAGAGTATGGGGAGCGCTAGCTCGGTGGTAGAGGGCAGGCGAGTGTGTGTGTGTCGTGTTGGGGAGGAGAGGTGGTCGAGGGAAGCAACGGGTGTAGGCGGCAGGCCAGGGCGTGGGGATGAAGGCTAAACGGAGGCGGTTGCGTCATGTGCAGCCGTGACGGGCGACTCGTGCGGGTGCAAGTCGCGTGCGTGCACAGCAAGACAGGACAGGCGTACAGCGGTGCAGCGGTGTTATGGCGGCACAGGAGCCCTGGACGCTGACTCGGGCTGTGCTGGCGTTGAGGTGGATGCGGAATGTGGAATGCGGAATGCTATCTATCAGCAGCTATCGCCAGACGGCGGGGGCGCTCTTCAGGTAGCTCAACAGGACAAAAGGCGTTTGCAAGACGGTTGACGGCGGGCGATAGCCGACGGCGAGCTTTATGCCCAACCCGCAGTTGTTGAGGCGTTGTATATGCAAGCCGTCGTCAGTAGTCATACTCGCGGCGGCGGCTGCTACGCTGTCGCGGTCGGTCAAGGCCAAGGTACCGAGGGGCAGTTGCGAGCTTCTGCAGGGTGGTGCATGTGCATGCCGCACCCGCACCCTTCTATTCGTTCCCTCGACCCTTGGCTTGGCTGCACCCACTTGTCCTGCATGGTAATACGTGTGTAGGACTGTGTGTATGCTATGTATTGCCTTGTTTGGTCGGTTTGCTCGTGACCTGCCTTGCTCACTCCGACACCGGCTGATGCCCTAGCACCACATGATGATGTGTAGAGTACGTACCATACTACTTACTTATACATGCATACTGGTATGCTCTTGTCAGCTGCCGTCACGTGTCTTCAGCCCATTTCGGAACTATTCCTACTGCTACGGAACATGTATGTATGCATCCCTGTCGCGATGGCGTCTCAAGAATCCGGCATGATACAACTGCTGGCCTTGTTCTTGTAACTATGATAGCGAAGTTGGCGTGTTCAATCAACACGCTAGTCACCTTCTCTTGCGCATAGACGTCTCCTTATCAATAAGCTCTTCTTAGCCCGAGGCTATCCGTAGCCATCCCGACTATCCGTGGCTAAGCCACATGTGGCTGGGCTATCTGTGGCTCACCAGTATGTGGCTGCATCAGTTGTGGCTGTACACTACAATCTGTGGCTGAACAATCTAGTAGCTCCAGGCCTTGTTCTCCCCCTATCGATACCAATCCTTCAGCTTGACCCTAGCGTAGTCTACGCCTCTCCTTCGGCTCTTTATTTCTTGTCTTTCCAATCGTATTCCTTGTAGTGCTTTTCATGTCGACGATTCTCGCCTATGGAGGCCCGTTTTCTTTCTTCTTGACACACACGCGACATGCCGGTGCAATGTAGACGGGCCAATGCTCCTGATGCAGTATAGAGCCGGCCGCTACGTGCTTCTCTACGCAAGCGAGCAATCTCAGGACTGTAACCGAGCAATCTCGCCAACGTAACCGACCCTGTCTGCAGCCGCCATCGACTGCCCCACCCTCGTACCCATGTTAAAAAGTACTTGATTCCATACGATTCCGCCTTCTGGTAGACAAACAAGCCAACACTGTTCTCGCACCATGTTCAAGTCTACTCTCGTCAGCGCTCTTTGCTGCTCCTTCCTCAGTGCAAGTCCTGCCTTTGCACAGTACACCAACCTTCCAAATGTCAAACCAGGCGTTTTTGAGGCGAGCACCCGCATAGAAATCTACAACACCAACTTCGATGCCGTCTGGGACTTGCTCACCGACTTTCCCAACTACGCTGCCTGGAATCCATTTGTCCGCTATGCAGTCGTCACCTCACCACTCAACATCACACTGCCTGAGCAACGGCCTGCCGAGGGCAAGAACCTCTACTTCCGCGTTCAAATCCCCTCGCTTCCACTGCCCGTAGACAAGGACACTCCCGACAACCCTCTGCACACGCAATCATCACAGGAGCTCGTCACAGCCGTACAACGCGACCTGGGCAGGCTGGCCTGGGAGTTCTGGCCGCCTTCGGTCATGCTGAGTGCTGAAAGGTGGCAGGCCATTACTGACTATGGCAATGGAACTGTGCTGTATGAGAGTAGAGAAGTTTTCAATGGGCCTCTGGCTTATGTTATCAAAACCACCATGGGCGATGCCTTACAAGCCTCATTTGTAGGCCAGGGAGAGGGGATCAAGCTGTACCTTGAAAGCCGGTGAGACTGCCCTTTAGCCTCGGAACATGTCAGACCATAGTGGCGTTGAAGAACATTTTCTTTTTACAATAATACGAGGCGAAGTTGAATTAAAACCACATGGGTATTGGTGCAGTAAAGTCAATATGCATATGTCGCTGTACATATTTAGTAGCGAGCCGTTGCATGCAAGTCAGTGGCGGGTTCATCCACACGCACATGCATAGCCCGCCCGCTCCGAACATGGGCCAATCCCGGTCACCCACCCACCCGCCGCGTCGCTATCGCAATCGCACATGGCCTGTACACGCCGCAGCATCAGGTGCGCCCGCTTAAGAATGACGTTATTTTGCGACTGTCGCTGAAACCCCTCGTGCTTTTCTTCTCTTCTGGCGCTCTGACACGTTCCTGTCGTATGTTGGCGTAACACTAGACACTGGCAGCACCGCCTATGCCGTCCACTCGCTCTCGTCATCGCTTATCTTCCTTTCGCAATCGCGAGATACTCTGCCTGCAATCATAACCATGAACCCCGAGCTCGAGGCTTTTGCGCGAGCCATATCGCGTGTCCTGGGCTGGGCCTACTTTCTTGCTTGGTGTGTTCTTACTCTGCCTCCGGATCCTTCTTTACCTCGCATGCTGACTCTCCTATTCAGGTCCTTGTCCTTCTACCCTCAGCCCATATCCAACTACGTCCGCAAGTCCACCCTTGGCCTTGCAATCGACTTTCCTACCTTAAACGTCCTCGGCTTCACCTGCTACACCATTTCCACCGCTTCGTTCCTCTACTCTCCCACCATAAAAGCGCAATATGCCCAACGACACCCCGAAGCTCCTGTTACAACGGTGCGATTCAATGATTTTCTGTTTGCTGCTCACGGTGCAGTCATGTGCTTCATCATATACAGCCAATTTTTCGAGCCCATATGGGGTTTTGAAGTGGGCAAGAGGCAAAGAGTGAGCCGCGTTGTGTTTACCGTGTGGTGGGCATGTGTCGCTGTCATATTTGCAGTTGTACTGTTGGTCCGCTTCAAAGGCCAGAACGGAGGCTACAACGCTGATGGATGGGCTTGGATCGATGTGGTAGGCTTGTTTTATTACATTATGTTTATCCACTACTAATAACAATCCATCTAGATCTACACTCTCGGCTACGTCAAACTCCTTACGGTTTTCCTCAAATATATACCGCAAGCATGGGTCAACTACAAACGCAAGTCCACCGTTGGCTGGAGCATCTATCCCATGCTGCTAGACTTTGCTGGCGGCTGGCTGTCACTTGCACAGCTATGCATCGACTCTGCACTGGAAAACGACTGGAGCGGTGTGACTGGCAATCCAGTCAAGTTCGGCCTTGGCAACATTACCATCGTCTTCGATGTCATCTTCATGGTGCAGCATTACGTCCTGTATCGGCATGCCTCTGAGAAAAGGGTCGAGGACGAAGAGGAGTCCGAGGCGCTAGTCGGGGCCATGCGAGCTTAGGAGCTTCACCTGCATAATTACTAGTCCTGCCCTTTTCCCTAGAAGCTTGCCTGTCATGCACAGCCGAACCAAAGTCCGGATACCACGTGGATGAACCCCATCCCAAACTTTTAGATTAGACCCAAACAAGACGCGCTATCCTTTGTTGTGGACAACACCTCTTTGGCGCTATTGAATCTATTCCAATTTAGACGAACATATCTTGTTGTCATGTATTGGTTCCAACGCCACGATCACCATTGTGTATTGTACTATGTCTGTGCTTTGGCCATTGGTACTATGACTGTGCAAGCTACTTGCCCCTGGAGCTAGGAGGACTGGATGTCACGTCTGTGCGTACGGACTTTCCTCGTCGATACCCACTTACAGTAGATTCAACATAGAGGCCCAGATTGCTATTTGCAGCTACATCAGGGCCTTGGGTGAAGAACACGGTCACGTGATCATCCGAACAGAGTCCTTTCGGCCCAAAAACAGTGAGAAACAGACCTATCGCCCATATTGTCATGATATCTATGAATTTGCTCTGTGATCTCATTTTACACTTATCAAACAGAAGCATCGCTTTTTTTTAAAACCATCGATCCATCCGACCAACCAACTATACACATCGCTCAGCACCATGTTTCCAAACCAAAACACCATTAAGTCCCTTTTCTAGGCCCAACATCCGCATCAGCATCCGACCCCGTCTCCTCACCCGCAGAACTACTCTGCGAAACATACTCCTCCTGCTGCACCTTCTTCCTCTGCCCCAACTCCCTCATATGCAGCGCGCGCGTCGCCAACGCGGTAACAATCATCATGAAGCTCAAGCACGTAGCGGTAATAAAGCCCTTTTGGTACTTTGGCTGCTCCACCTGCTTCCACACGATGAGCGGCAACCACGCCTGCACCACGTACGCCATTTCGTTCATGGACGCGACCACAATGGCGCGCTCCTCGTTGTCGTGCGTGCAGATTTCGTGTGCCCAGGCGTAGCAGAGGCCGGAGATGCCGCCGCCAAAGCCGGTCAGGATGTAGCATGCCCATTTCCAGCGCGTGGGTATGTCCCAGATGGAGAGGCTGATGTAGCACATCATGTTTACGCAGCCGCCGAAGACAATGGGTTGCCAGCGGGAGCCCTTGAGAATACTGTCGCTGGTCCAGGCGTAGAGGAGTGTGGTTACCACTTGGACGGCGTTGGTGGCTGTTGGGTACTGTTGGCGGGGAGGTTTGAATTAGCCCTCTTCATGTCTTTTATATATGGAGAAGAAGAAGAAGAAGAAGAAGAAGAAGAAGAGAACGTACCGTATTAATCTGACTAACCGTATACTTTGGATTCTTGCTCGCCTTGAGAAATTGCTGGAACACAGGCTGCGCACCCGAGTTACCGTTGTTGAAGAAGATGTACAGGAACACCAGGGCGTAGATATGCCAGGAGGTAAAGATCTTCAAGATCTTAGCGCGAGTGTAAGGTTGGCGTTTTTGGCGGCCCTCGCGCTGCATGCGCTCCTGTGCGAATTTGACTTCCTTTTCTGTCAGGTAAAAGGGTTTGGAGATTTCGGGGAGGTCGGGCAGGAAGAAGAAGCCCATAATAGCAATGGGGACGGAGATGATGCCGTCGACGATGAAGAGCCATTGCCAGCCTCTGAAGCCGCCTTTGCCGTTGAGTCTGTAGACGCCCGACATGAGGTAGCCCGAGAACATGGTTGCAATTGCGCCGCTGGTGTGGAAGATGCAGGAGCGCTTGGCGAGTTCTTCTTTGCGGTACCATGACCCGATTATGTATTGCATGCCAGGATAGAAAGTAGATTCAGCGAGACCTGGGTAAAATTTAGCTAGGAATTATTGTGTTTCGTGGCGGTTTTAGATCTTACCGATGAGAAAACGTAGAGCGTAGAGTGTTTCTGCGTTCTTGGCGCGACAGAGACAGAATGTCAGGACTGCCCATGTGAGCTGTCACTGTTAGTATATGAGCCTTGTACGTGCATAGTTCCAACGTGCCTCCATAGCGGGAATCCAAATCGACGGTCGAACCCGGGTCAAGATGATGTTACTCGGTATCTCGCCAATAACATATCCCACCGTCCAGCACGTCTGCATGTAATTAAGTTGATTGCCAAATAATCCAAGATCCTCTTTCCTAGAAAAAATGGTAATCAGCAAACACACTCCTCTATCAAAACAATCCCACAACCTACATTCCAGACACAAAAGCACTGTTGATATTCGACTGATCGAGATATTTGATAAAATACCCTATTCAACCACAGTCAGTTCCTCACATCTTAGCCAAACAGAGACAAAAAAAGCAAGTAAACATACCCAACGACGCAAAAGTCAACAACGCAGCATCAAGCTTAAACATGAACCACCGCTCCTCCTTGGGCTTATCGAGCGTATCCCACAGATAATAGTACCACTTATGCGGCTTATCCGTCACATCCTCTTCAGACCGGACGGTAGGCGAAGCAGGCACCAAAGTAATCGAGACATCCTGGGGGACTCCCATAGTCACAGGAACGAGTGTAACGAGTAAAAGAGTCGTAGGATTATCAATGTAAAAGCAACCAAAAAATAAAAATAAGCCACAGTTGATTGCAACCAGCCCTGCTTTTATCAAGCTCCTCCCAGGGTCCTTACTTTTAAACGCTTATCCGTTAACCAAGCCTTCGCAAGAACATCGGCTTTTCTTTGCATATCACCGCCCAGAAGGAGCCATGGCAGGCCGCGCAGGCCGCGGCCCGCTGGGCCCCAAAAAAAAGGCGTATGCAAGCCTGAGCTAGGGGTGTATGCGTGGTTTCGATGCGAGGCCGTGAGGCAAAAAAATAAGGCGACATACTGGGGACGGAATGGCGACATTGACAAGGGTTTTTGTTTTGGGGGGGGGGGGGTTTGGGAAATGATACTAGTTTCTGGGCTGGAGAAGAGAGAGAGAGAAAGAGACGCGCCCCGCCCAATCCCTTTCCCCCCCAGTCCCCCCAGTCCCCCCACAGTTACATCTTTTCTTGGGTTGCATACACGGGCCCTCGGGATAAGATATCCGAACCTGTGTTACCACACTTTTCTTTGCTTGCGCGTGGGAGGTTTTGTGGGATTGTCGACTCCCGTGGTCGCATGGGAGGATGTGGGTGGTCTCGGTCTCATGTTGGCGTCATTGAATAGCCGGATGGCGTGCCTGAGGAGAAAAGATAAGGCATTCTCGTAGGGGCTTGGATTTTATAGTATGGGGCTCAACAGATAGGGCATGTTTGGATGGATTGGAACGGCAGTTTAAGGAGGGTCTGGATGTTTGTTGTGGCGTTTTAACGAGTCAGTTGGGGTCTTGGATGGGATGTTTGTAGTGTATATTAAAAGTCACGTGATATGATTCATTCTAAGTCTGCTACAAACAAGTTACTTCGAGTCTCTTTTGCAAGACGGGCGTGGAGAAAAGCGCTTTCATCCTTGCTACGCTTTCCGCTTTTGCAATGTGCCATTGACTGCTGTGCCCGTTGAGCCTGTCTTTACCAGCCTTCTCTAAATCAGCATTGATCCAAGCTAACAGCTCATTGACGTAAATTGTCTCTTGGTCTCGTAGACTGTGAAATGCTTTGCCGTAGCCTTTTGTCTTTACTCTCTCATTGTATTCGGATCGCATGGCTTCTTGGCTCGGAAGCTTCGCCTGGCCCGAGAGTACCTTGGCAACGGCCATGGCTTGAAACTCGAACAAGCTGAAGGTGGCAGTGAAGAAAGGCACACCAACGAATACAAGCGTAGGGTCGCTGATATAGAAGATGTCCTTATGAAGGTTGTGGAACTGTGTTCCATCTGTCACCAACAGTGTATCATCCGCCTTGTCGACCGGTGTATTGTCCGCGTGAAGCTGAGGCAAAAACGGCAATGTGAGATGGTAACCTGTGCAGAGTATGACGTGGTGGATGTCACAAAGCTTCTCGCCCGATTTGAGGGTTACTATGCCTGGTATCGCTTCCGACGGGCCCAAAGGTTTCGATTCATCCACGCTGGGTGCATCGTACGACACCACCTCATCGACTCGGTAGGCATTTTCGGGAAGCATTGCTTGAGGAAGATCGAATTTTCCATTCCTTTGGCTTTGAGTGATCTTGTTGGCATATGGGCTGAGCTCGCGCGCAATATCCGTTGCTGAGACGCTTCCACCGACAAGCAGATAATTCTGTGATAGCGTTAATGGGTGTCTGATATAAAGATCATTTCTTTAGCATATTCGATACATACCTTATTTTCAGCATTTTCAGGCTTTCTGTAACGCTTTGAATGCTCTACCCTGTCTGGCCACCTTTTCTTCCAGTCTGCCAGACCAGGGGTATCTGGAACTCTTGGTGCATGGTAATGTCCCGAAGCAACGACTACAGCGTCGAATTTCTGCATTCCTGTTAGAATAACGGGTTGTATGTTCATTGAAGCACTTACACTAGTGGAAGTGTTCCACTTTTCTACACCAGCACTATCTGTCTGGAGAGTCGTCGTCTTAACTGACCATGAATTGCCTTCTTTCCAAACATTCTTTACACTCGTATCATACTGTGTGACTTTGTGCACTCCCGTTACAATGGCAGTGTCTTGTATGTAGTCTGCCAAAACATTGTGCGTTACATAGTCTTCGGTTCCAGCCGGAAACTTGTTCAACGAGGTTTCCAGTAAGCGAGTGCTCACATTGTTTTTCAAGCCAACATAGCATGGACTACGTTTTGTCAGTCATGGAACACACACAACGTTCAAACATCAGAGCTTGCCCTGGTGGTGCGTGGATTCGCCTTTCCGCGTCTTCCGCGTCTTCATTTGCATATGTCGTGCCAGTTTTCGAAATTGGCACTGTTGAATATAATGGCTCAAGGGGCTTTCGCTCATCGTACAACCTTCTCTGAGGTGAGTTTACAGTATACTTTGGTATGAGTGGGAAGACTACCATATGCCTCCTGCAGCACTACTTCGCTCAAAGACGGTGACATCGATATTTTCTTTCTTGAGATGGGCTGCAGCAACGACACCACTGATACCTGCACCGATCACAGCAACATGTTTCGAGGGAAGAGCCATATTGGAGATTTTGCTAAAGTGAGACAGGGACGTCGTTGGAGCTTTCCGAGATGGTTGAGCGTATTTCCTCAATTGACCTCGGTCAAGTCATCCCCGAGACGAACTACTGCCAACCCCTATTATTTCCGAATCTCCGCGCTTCATCTTGTGAGACGGCATTTATCAGCATATATCACGCGATGATAGAGGCGTCAAGGTTCGCAAGATGTAGTGGTGCACATGTATGGCATCATGAACATCCACTATTGCGAGAACAATCTACTGCATACACGAGGCACCGGCATACCAAACTAGAAACAAATGCAAGAGCCCACAATTTTTGTTTGAGGAGCCTGGCGCGGTATCCAGGCGCGGTGTCCAGTCGATAAGGTGGGAGATGTTGACTGGATATTCGTCATAATCTTCGGAATGATGTGATTGACCCCGCAACTATCCATGGACATCGCCAGCATGCAACCACCACGCGATGTAACCGATTAAATCCAGCCGATACAGGAAATGTATTTCTAAGCTGTGAGGAGACGTCGTGTGGGGAAGCATTCAGGTCAGATATAAGGAGTGGTGACATCGTGAACTATTCGCCATACTCAGCCTCATCGCAGCAATCATCAACATGGCACCAATCGCAATTCCCGTTGCTGAACACATCAGAGAGCAGGACACTGTCCAGCCAAGAAAAGATACATTGCAGCTGCCCGAGCCAGCCAGAAAGAGGCTTGAGAAGGCAGGTATCGATTTGTCCAATGGTTATCCATACAGGCCAGCAAAGCCTCTTTACCTCGACGATGTGTACAAGCTCAGGGACTATGATCGGGAACACATCGACCCGGGTACCCGAGCTGATCCCGAGAAGAAGGCACTGTTCGGTGCTGCAAAGGAAGTCATTCATCTAACGGCACACATTGGAACTGAGATTGTTGGACTTCAATTGAAGGATCTTACAGACCAACAGAAGGATGAGCTTGGTCTTTTGATCGCTGAGAGGAGCGTCGTGTTCTTCCGTGACCAAGATCTCTCGCCTCAACAGCAGAAGAAGCTTGGAGAATACTATGGTGAAATCGAAGTCCATGTATGTCATTCTTCCCATCCTGTAGTCGACTATGCTGACAGTCAATCAAGCCGCAAGTCCCTCACGTGCCAGGTGTACCGGGAATAACTGTTCTTTGGCCCGCTCTCCAGGCGACGGAGGTACCTGCCAGCTTCAGGAAGACTGGCGGAGCGTCCCAATGGCACACTGACTTGGTGCACGAACGCCAACCCGCCGGGTATGTGATGGTGCTCTGAATTCAATGATGCTCCGACTAACTAGATTAGTGTAACCCATCTGCACAACGACACAATCCCAAAGATTGGAGGCGACACTCTCTGGGCATCAGGCTATGCAGCTTATGAGAAGCTTTCCCCCGAGTTCAGGAAGATTATCGATGGCCGAGAGGCAGTGTACCGCAGCGCACACCCATATCTTGAGCGGGACAACCCTAGCGCCGGTCCCAAGCACGTTGAGCGAGTTCACCCGCTGGTCCGCGTGCATCCCGTCACGGGATGGAAGGCTCTGTGGGTCAACCGCGCCTTCACCGTACGCATTGTCGGATTGGACAAGGCTGAGAGTGACGTAATCCTCAACTATCTCTTTGATGTGTACGAGAAGAGTATCGATATCCAGGTCCGCTTCCGATGGACCCCAGGAACGTCGGCGCTCTGGGACAACAGAATCACTATCCACAACGCCAGTTGGGATTATGAAGGAAACGAGCCGAGGCACGGAACCAGGGTGACGTCATTGGCTGAGAAGCCATTCTTCAAGGCGGATGCGCCAACGCGCAGGCAGGCGTTGGGCCTTGCTGGACCTGAGGATATTTGAGAGACGCGGTGAAATTTCTGGCGACGAGAAGACTGATCGCGGTGAGCTTGGAAGTTGGCAATCGCCGGCGCGTCGATGCACGACAACGCTTGCGGGGTAGGCCACTCGCTACGTAGATGAGTGAACTTTGTCAATGAAATCAACATTATTGCATCTGATTTTCGATCTGAAATTTGAACGCTGCCTTTAGCTCGAGGTGTAGAGACATTTTCCGGGGTGAACATGAAGCTGGCTTGAAATTGATATGCAGCTAGTGCTCGCTCACACGGCGATGGCATGCATATGTAGAGAGACAAAAAGAAGACACAGCACATACGATCATAGGCAAAAAATCAATCTGGGTCTCGTCTGATCCCCGCACGATAAACCTTTGACCGGCGGATTAGTAGTCAGGTGGGTGACCACTGGCGAATCCCCGCTGTCGTATGTTTTTGCAATTAATTGTTTTTGCCTGTCTCATGTTGATCCAGATTACTGTATCTGATCCATTAGCGCTTGGTGCCTTAATGTTGTTTACTATGAATCATATTAGGTTACTCGTTCAGGAAAAGAAGACGTTGTAGTATGTGACGCGCTACCAGTATCCTTAGTTCTGGCCCACTCTAATCTAATCACGTGCAATTAACGCAATTAACGCAATTACATTCCCACAAACTTTCTCCAAGGACTTAATCAAGACTCGTCATTATGATTAAAAAAAGATAACAATGAGCTAGAACCATACAATAAACAATATAGGTTGAGATGCGTGTCGTCCATCTCGTTAGGTGCACTATTACCTAATTCTTCATCCTGAATATATCAATGTATTCACACCCAATGACCAAAATGCACGGTCATTCTGCACTCACTTCCTCTTGTATCTGTGCGCCGAGGCGAGACTGCTGACTTCGATACATCGCTTCTCAATTACCTAATTGGGCTTTGGAACTAAGCCTCGGGTACCGTTGCCGAACGTGTGGTTCTTGAACTTGGCCACAAGACCGACGCAGACAGGCCTGGTTATGGGTTAGGTAAGATTGCCTAAGCAGCAGAGGCAGAGCCTTTAGCTTTAACATTGGGAGCGGTGTCCTATCCAATCTCATCGCGGACTCGATTGATTTCAGCTGAGCGAACAGGGTCATGCCAAGGACAACAGGTGTAACGGCTCGCTTGAGCGTAGCTGGTACGTGAGGCGAAAAACGGGGACTAGGCAAGTATGTCATGAGCCGGCTCCGGTGCAGCATTCTTGGCTCTTGCTTTCCTTGGGTTGGCACTGCTAGCGACTGCCCTCCTCGGACTTGGCCATACCCACATTCTATGCCCGTGAAAACCCGCCACTGAACCTCAACCCAGGCTACCTGCCCCATCTCCAAACGGCTTTTTTGACGCCTACGCCATAGCTTAATCATGCGAAATGCTCATCTTTTGCTGAGCCACAAGCAAGCTGGAAAGGTCCGTGCCGGAGACATCGAAGAGGCAGGTGGGCCAGCTCGCCAAGTGCCAAAATGCCGTGTATCCGTTCTACGATCGTGCACCTGGCATCGCGACAGGCACCCAATGGCTATCCGCACAGCTAAGCATCGAGAGAAGTTTTCGCCTTGGCAACGCCGCCCTCTGAACTGGAATCGACCTTGGCATGAATCGAGCATGCTTGGCACGACGTCGTACACCGGTATCCCCACGGCTCCGCATATATGTTGCAGCCACCTGTAGTCTTCTTGCCTTTTTTTCTTCTCCTCTGCTCTCTGACTTTTCTCCCCAACCTTCTGCTCTCTCAAAGTCTGCCTCAGCTCTTCTCCAACGCACCAACTCTTTCCCAAGCTCTCTTACAACCCCAACTCATTTACTACCTTACCAACTTGCCAATCACGGCATTGATCTAGGAGGAGTCTGCACCCCCGCCCCGTGCTGAAGTTCTCTATGTATACCACAGTCAACACCCCATCTACCAAGTTTGTCCACGCGGCCATAGTCCGCGGGGCAAGAATTCGCAGAAAATTAGACCGTTGATACTGAGCATTTTCCAAATCTGACTGGTCTCGATACCCGCATTAAAGCAATCACCCTATTCCATTAACTGTTCAACCTTCTCTTCAAAAAAAAAGAAAATCAGAAAAAAAAACAAATCGTTCGGACTTGCAGCATGGGGAAGAAAGCTGTCCCTCTCGAGGGGCATGTTAGCGGTCAGGCGAACAAGCCCATGTCCAAGCCAGCCCACAGTCTCACTATCCAAGAAGTAGTCAACGAGCTCAAGACGGAGGAATGGTCTGGTCTAGACGATACCGAAGCCAAACGCCGAGTCGATGAGTACGGAACCAACGAACTGGGAGAAGCCGAGAGCGTCTCTCCCATCAAGATTTTCGTCGCCCAAGTCGCCAACGCCATGACTCTGGTCCTGATCATGGCCATGGCTGTTAGTTTCGGTATCGAGTCGTGGATCGAAGGTGGTGTCGTAGCCTTCGTCATCGGACTCAACATCGTCGTTGGCTTCTTTCAAGAATGGTCTGCCGAAAAGACAATGGACTCGCTTCGCTCTCTCAGCTCGCCCACTGCACGTCTCATCCGTAATGGCCAGCAGATTACAGTCCCTTCGGCTGAAGTCGTCCCTGGCGATATCATCGAAGTCAAGGTCGGCGACACGATTCCAGCTGACATGAGGGTCTTTGACGCGGTCAATTTCGAAACCGATGAGGCGTTGTTGACTGGAGAGTCTCTCCCTGTACGCAAGCAAGAAGATGCTGTTTTCGATGAGGCTACTGGGCCTGGTGATCGCCTTAATGTCGCTTATAGCTCATCTAGCGTTACAAAGGGTCGGGCCAAGGGTATCGTGTTTGCGACTGGTGCTTATACTGAAATTGGCGCCATCGCTGCTCAGCTCCGCGAAACGCAGTCCAAGGTTCGGCCAGTCAAACGCAAGCCGAATGGAAAGGCAAAGCCCCATCGCTATCTCGAGGCATACACGCTCACCACAACCGATGCCATTGGTCGTTTTCTGGGACTCAACGTTGGAACTCCCCTGCAGAAGAAGCTGTCCAAGCTCGCGGTCTTGCTCTTCTTCATTGCTGTCATTTGCGCCATCATTGTCCTAGCAGCCAATAAGTTTAGTAATCGCCAGGAGGTCATCATCTACGCTGTCGCAACCGGTCTGTCTATGATC